TATTTTACCCAATTAATCATTATATATTTTTATTCTTATTAAATTAAATTAAATAAATCAATTAAAATTCAAAAATTATAAAATAAACACAATAAAATAAATTTAAAAATTAATTAAAAATAATAATAATAAATGACAAAATTAATGGGTGTTACAGCAGTACTGAAAATAATTCTCTTTTTCCTTTCAAATATATTTGAAAAATCGGTGCTCCTCCAAGAATTGCTTTTTTTTTGTTTTGTTTGGAAAGCCAATAAAAAGAAGATTCTAACTTCAAACAACTTGATAAAAAGAGAAAAAATTATGGTTAACATGTATTTCCTTTGCAAGTGTGACGCTGATACTTGCAATTACATTCTTCTATGATGTCATTTTATTTCTAAACTTTAGTTCATGGCCTTTAATTTGATTGGTATTAATCGGGTAATAGATTGATCCGTTCACAATGAGCTCTTGGTTTAAGATGGTTTAAATTCGAGCATTTATGTTAATCGCTTTACTCTCCTTATTATATTTTAGATTACTTGGAAATAAAGAAACAATATGACTTTTGACGATGATGAATATACTTTTGTAAATATTAAAGATATATTATTATATTATTTTAGCTCTATTCTTTTGAATAGTAATTTATTATCTTTTGATGATTTTGAGGTATTATCAATATTTTTTTAAATATGTAATATTTTGTATATCGACGGTATTTTCTTGATATTTAATACACCTACTAATTTTTATCTAAAAAAAATAACACTATAATATTTTTTATGTAACACTATTAATTTTGTACTATAATATTACAAAACCTTATATATTAAATTCTCATAAAAGTAAAAGGTAATAAAATTTTAAAAATTAGAGTATAAAATATTAACACTAGGTTTCTTGAAAAGAAAAGGATATTTTAGTTATTATATGCATTACTCAATAAAACGAATTAATTGTTTTATTAAATTTATTAAAATTAATTTTTAACTGTTATATTTTTTAAACTTCTTTAAACATAAAATATGGTCAAAACATAAAAGATTTATATATATATTTAAATTTGTATAGTTTTATAATTTTTAAATTCAAGGACGAAACCCTAAAGAAGAAATTTTCAAAACCTAATCGCACAATAAGAACTGAAAAGTAATTTTCTAAATGAAGAACTGAAAAATAATAAAAAAGGGGGTTTTTTTTTTAATTTAAAATCTTTGATTGAATTCAATCCAACATTTGCAACGTTCATATTTTTAAACTTTTCTTGAATAGAGCACCATCATTTCAAGAGGCCTGGCAAGAAAAAGGGCATCCAGATTAAACCCCAACCAAGAAGCAAAACCATCCATGGGAATCTCTGAGCGAGGAAGATCAACTCGTTACCAAGTAATTGAAGACGAAGACGAAAATAGTTACAGTGAAAATGCAGGATCCGACTCGGATTCTGGTTCGGATATTGACCCGAGTTATAACATTTTCGAGGACACTTATGACAAGTTTTCAAATCTTTCAATAAAAAAGAAATCAAAGCCACGGTGAGTGTGAAATCAATTATCTTTTTGATATATAGACTATCATTCATCATGAAGTTTCGATATCACTCACGAACAATGTTCATTTGTTGAGTTTTTGATTTTGTTGCTCGCGATTGAGGATGCAGTATAACAAAAGACCCAGTGGAATTGGAGGATACAAGTTATAAGTCTGACGAAAAAGATCCCGAGGAAGTTCATAAGATTATAGAAGGTTAGCGTATGAGAAATTTACTGATTGTTAACAATTCATAATAAGAATAAGAAATCTCCTTGTTTTGAAATTTGGGAAAAGGTTTTACATGATGTCAGTTAGAAAGTTGCAGAACATCGCCTGCCTTATAGTAGATCAAGAGAAATAAACTGTTCATTTTTAAGACTGAAACGCGATTTCTTTGTCAATATGTGTTGGTAGCTGGCCAGCTAGAGAAGTTGAAAGTGGAGCAATGTAAGATTTACTTGAGAAAGAATGGACTGAGGTTGACCGGAAATAAAGAAACGCTTATTCAACGGATAAAGGAGCATCAAGAGTAAATAATTGCTTCTTCGGCAATCTTCCTGATACTTCTACAGATTCTTTCTATCCATTTAATATCTATAATCTTACCCTTTTTTCGTTTTAGGATTCTAAATGGTGGTGGTGAGAACAAGTACCCAGTGTCTAGCTTCGTGCTGAACTGTAAAGGTGCAGAGTTTAGCTCCCGGGTCTTCTTTTGGCAGTCACAAGTTTGAAACTAGGAACAGTTTAGACATTGAGAATAATAGTGATTGTTTATGGCCTATATTAGTTTCCATTTAATTCTTAATCAATCAATTGATACACTACATTTTTATATTAATGTTTTTATATATAGTTATAACTTAATATCTTTTGTTTGATTCATCTTCTCTCCATCTTGAATTAAACCAACATAACCTAAATACTGTTCTATAATCAAGCATCTTGGAACATATTAAATGGTTAAGAAATAACTGAGAAGATTGGGCTTTTAGTTATGCTTGCCCACTATATCTGCAATGAGATACATAAGATAGGAAATAAATAATTGTTTTTTCTGCATTACAAGGTAGAAAGCAAATTTGCCATTTGTTTTCTTGAGCTAGAACTTTGTCTTATTCCACTCTCTTACTTTGTGCTTTGTAGTTGACGTCGCGTTTATAAATTATCACTTTCATTCTGCTTATCCTCTGAAAAATAATGACATTTAATGCAGGTGATGCGTGCACTGGTGATGTTGTTATGTTCGAACAGAATGTTTATGAAATGTATGTCCTTGAAAATTCAGTTCACTCAAAAGTGTTTGGTTCTGCAAAATGGTATCACTGGTTATAGGTGGTCTATTTAAATGATAAAAAAAAAATGATGATTTATACACAAAGGGCAGCAATGGAGAATTCACATTATTGCTTCTGAGTGCAAGTGCTAGTACCCTGATTTGCTATATTAAGCATTTTCGATAATTTATGTTCTTTATAACCTTATGTTTTTATTGAATATGCCAGGTTTAATATAGCATCACGAGCTGCTACTGGTCCCCCATGCGGTACAAGAACTGTTGCAGGCCGTATTGTGAAAGAAAGTTATGGAGCTGCCAAGCAACAACACACGTTTACGGTAAGTGAAGATGCTTTGAATTGGAATACCATAAGCATTTTGCTCCGAACACTTTGTCTTGTGCTCTTTATTTTTGAAGAAGTTAGGTTGAGTTTAGTTGCAAATTTTTAATTTTATAGAAAAGAATGAGAAAACAATATAAATAAGATAGAAAATTTAAATGAAAATGACGTTCTAAATTCTAATTTTCAAGTCAGCTTCATGTCTGATTTATGTTAATTGTATTTATCCTTCATAAAGCAGAAATACAAACGGATCATTGTGGAATTGAAGATATGAATGAATTTAATCAAAAAGATAGATATTGCCTGACCTTTATATAAGACCTAGGCATCTAAAAAAGAAGATCTAAACAAATGAATGAAGATCAAATAGGCTTGAAACAAAGTCAATGTTGCAGATAGTGTCTTAGCATTAACCAGAACAATTTTATGGACACGTTGAAAACTCATGGTTATGTACCATGGTCTTTTCTGAATTTTGTTTCATGCTAATTTTCTCAGTTAAGTTGTGCTGCTTTATTCTATTGGAACAGAAGTTGTTACATTTTGTTTTGTGGTTTCATCAATTTGACCAATCAATTCGCTGTAGTGCATATATATTTCAAAGGAATCACTGTTTTGCCTGTCTTTATTGCTAAACTTGTGGTATCCTATTCAGATAGAAGTCCTATGGAGCAAAGGGGAAAAACCACTAGCTCCACTTCATCCTCTTCTAATTAAAGGTCGAAATCTTTACCGATTGAAGACTTTGCGACAGGTTTGAGTCATTTAGAAAAATTCTCACTAGTTTGACCTTTTGCACACATTTATTTTACTACTGTTACTTATTCTTGTTCTGAAAGTAGAGATGGGAAGATGAAGGAGAGAGGCAGAAGATTTTAATGGAAAAACATTTGAGGGGTTCCCTTGCCAGGTCTGATAGAGAACTGCGAATCCAGGAAAAGGAAAGGAGGAAAGTTCTTAGGGCGACCAGGTATTTGCTTATGCTTATCATGGTAGAAATAATTTGGCTTACAATCATTAGTACGCAGGCAAATGCATAACAAAATAGAGACCTGTTTATGCTATCTAGTTTTAAGACTTCAGTTGTTTTTATTACAGAATTAAGAGAAAGAATGAGCCATACAATAACCAGTCCCAGTCAAAATCAAACGTAATTGCAAATTCTGTAATTCAGTTTCATCAATTGGGTTCATCGGTTACTATGGGGAAAGCAGCTCCTCAACAGCCTGGTGTTTCCATTAATCCAGGAAATACAGAAACTCAAGTTCAGAAGTCAGAGTTAGTTATTGCTTCAAGAAAACCAGTAATTCAATCCCAACAGTCAGGTTATTCAGTGACTTCGGTTGTTGATGCAGGAACTCTTCAACCTCAGCAGAATAGAGGCCAGATACAGGATAGAAATCAAAATCAAATTCCTCAGAAAGTGGAGAAATCTGATGTAAGTCAGGGCGAAGACTATAGGCAGCCTAATGTCTATTCGACATGGCATCAGTGTTCAACTAATGATAACAATTACCCCAATAAAAGATTGAGTGAGTCATCTGACAGGAATTATCATCAGTTGCCATTGAGAAGCAAGAGGGATGATACTGCAAACTTCTTGCACCCTAACATATACATGCATAATGCCAGCTTTCCAATTAATGACAAAAAACCATATACAAACCGGATGAACGAGTCATGTGAGCTGAATTACCCGATGTTACCTCTAAGGAGTAGGAACCATCATGGACCAGAGAATCCAGCACTTTACCGGCCAATGTGCTCTCCAGATAGATATGGTCGCCGAGCACGACAGGTCTGCTGGCACTATTCTAGAGGACGATGTTACCATGGAGATAATTGCAAATTTTTGCATGAGCTGAGAGGGGAAGAGCAATGGTCTTCTGGTCAAGGGAGGTTCTAAAGTTCAGGCTAAAAACTTCGCTAGTTATGTTTGGAACTTATCGATTCACCAAGTTTTGCATATGCGGGGATTACCTTGTTTTCTATGGCAGATAACTAACTTAGAATTTGAAGGAATATGATATGGCAAATAAATAGGATACAAACATGACTTGGGTTTGTATAACGTGTTCAGACTTAAAATAACCTGTTAATTCAGGAAGCTTTTGTATAACAAAATATTTTCCTGAAAATTGATATGACTTTTAATCCATTTTGTCTGTTATGATACTTATTGGTATAACCGATCCATCTTCTATTTGTCAACTCCTATTCAGATTTTTCTACTTTTATTACGAAATTTTTTGATTGAAATGCAGTTTACCAGCTATATTAATTTCTTCGTAGATGGGGATTAGAGAGGTACCTGTTTTTTATTATCACCGTGGGTTTTGCCATTGATTAGGTAACCTGATGAGCTTAAATTCAAACTAATTTGATGGATTGTATTGAAAAATTGTATTTATTTTAATTTTATATTATTTAGATTTTTTTATAATATTAATTTATAATTTTTTTAAAAATATAGAACATTTAATTTGGTCAGTTTCAATTATTTTAATGAGAAAGATCATATTAAATTATTTAAATCATATTAAATCATTTACGATAAAATTAAAAAAAATAAAATCTATTTTTCTAATAATAAAAAATTAGTTTAAATCCATAATAATTTATTATTCGAACTATTAGTGGTTTTAAAAGGTGGATTCCAAGATTAGTAGATTGAATACTTGTAATAACAAATATTATACACTATGTAACACCCAAGAAATTTTTTTTTTTAATTTCATTATTATTAATTTAATTTAATTTAATTTATTCAAATAGAAATAATAATAATAATAATAAAAGAAGTAAAAATTATTTAGGGATTTAATTAAAAATAATTTTGGAAACAAGAGGTGAAAATTTGAGTTATGGGAGTATTTTTGAAAGAAAAATCGAAAACCGGGGGTCAAAATGCAATTTAAAAAATTGCGCCACGTCAACTGTCCGGTCAGCAGCCCAGACAAACCAGGACGCGCCGCGTGGCATAGACGTTGACGAAGGAGGCCACGTGGAAGGGAGCCACGTGGGCGATCCACGTACACGCGATAGAACGGCTGAGATCCGTTCCCACGCGCACAGACGGCCCAGATCAAAAATGCGCACGGACGGCCCAGATTGCATTGCGCACGGACGGCCCAGATTGAATAGCGATGAACGGACCAGATTTATTTTCTATTTAATTACGATCAGACGGTTCAGATTAAATGCAATGGACGGTTCAGATTAAAAGCGGATGGTTATAAATAATCTCATCCGCACCCAAACCCAAACCCTAGTCGCCAGAGCCCCTCGCCGGAAAAGATAGCCCAGCCACTGGGGAGCCAACCGCCGCCCACCACTGCCGCACCAGAGCAATTTTCGACCGTCAAACGAGGTAAAAATTCTACCCTTTGCTTGAAATTCGATTTTAAACCCACCTATGGCCAAATCGGAGCGAAAGCACTGGCCAATTGGTCGGAAAACGCCGCGGGGTGTCTCGATTTTTACCTCCGATGAGGCCCTTCTCGATTCTCGTTCGACGTAATTTTTTCATCTTTGTGATCACCATTTCCTCCTCTACAGGTTTACCAGAGCAAAACACCAAACCGCGACGTGAGCCGGAGGAGCCGCCGCATCGGAGAGCTCCATCGCCGGTAAGTTTCGTTTTTTTTGTTTTTTCAGCTCACTAGGGCCATAAGAGTGTTTTCTCACTGGAATCGATGCAAGTTTGGCTGAATTCGACCGAAAACAGCCAACTCGAGGCGGATCACCGCCGAGCCGTCGTGCCGAAATTCTGAAATTGGCCGAATAGGCTCTGGGTCTGATTTTTGGGTTATTTGGGATATGTGTAGGTACCGTAAGCGCATTTTAATTCCCGAGGAAAAATTCAGGGAACCTAGGGACCGTTCGTAGGCGTAGTAAAAATCTAGGGTTCGGTATTAAATCTGGTAAGGACCCCTCACCATATTTTCTATTATGGAATTAAAGTTTGAATAAATGATAATACTGTATTTTTTACAAATTAAATTGATATGCATAATTAATTAAGGTTTCTGATGGAGCCCGAACCAGACATATTTCTCTAGTAATTCCTATTTGATTTATTTTACGGTTTAAATGCATTATGGTATCTGGTTTATTTATTCTATAGTTTTGAATGCATGAATCACTGTTTACTTCACTACTGTTTGATTTTAGGAATCTAAGATATGCTTGCTTTGTTAGATGTACGTTACTTGTTTAAGTATTCATGTTTGAATTGGTAACGAAGACTAAGGAAAAATAGGAAAGGGGCGGGATTTGATAAATAGATAAGATGACAGCCTCACTAGATATCCTGGGAGATGGTGGACGGACCGGGTTCATAGGGAACCCTACTGTGAATGTTATCTCATACCGGACGGGGTATAGAGACATGGTCATTTGACGCTCATATCGGACGGGGTATGGGGACGCCCTGCTTCACCCTCATACCGGACGGGGTATTAAGGTTTATTTTTTTGGTGCTCATACCGGACGGGGTATGGGGACGACCCTGAAATTAAGATTGTTAAGGAGAATGGTTCACGTGTAGCGGGGACCCCTATGGATCCCCATGGATACTAGTAGGCTGATAAAAAGGGGCAATTGTTGTTTGATGATTTGAATATAAAAGTATAACATGTGCTATGTTACAGATTATATATGAATTCATGATATTTATAATATTATTGTTTTCATAGATTGTTTTTTTATAAATCTCACTGCGGTAAGTGAACAGTAAATGGTTTGATTATTGATAAATTAATTTGTTTAAATCTACTGCTCCATTAATTATTTTAATTTTCTACCAATCTTTACTTCTGTGACGGTGAATAGTGTGATGTCCTTACTGGGCTAATGTAGCTCATTCCTTATTTAACTATTTCAGATCAGGAGGACCTGATTTCCGAGCTCGATCCACAAGAAGATGGCGAGTAAATGCTAGATGTCTTATAGTTTTCTTTATACTTCTTTTATTTCTAGTATTTCTTTTAGAAGACTTATTCTTTAATATTGTTTAGTACTTTTAAGTTATTATGTAAGAGATATTAACCTAAATTTTTTATTTCGTTTATGTACTCAGATTTTTATATGCATTTTCTTTTAGATTTTTGGGGTCGTTACAGTTAGTATCAGAGCCAGGTTCCTCGGACTCGTTCCTTACACAATGATACTTAGAGAAACACCAAACCAATGAATCATTACTCGACCATTCCTTGTGAAATGCAGGTACGGAGAGATGAGAAGAGGAAGACCCCCACTAAACTAAGCAGTCCGGGATGGTTCGCTTCGGGAAGACATTGACAAGATATTTGAGATGTTGGAGAGACTCATTGCTATCCAGCAGGGCCGAGAGGAGAGAAGGGAACTACTTGACGCTCCCCCGCTGCCACAGGTTGAGCCATCACTGCAGCGAGAGGATCCCGAGCCACCCCGGTACGAGCCTGCTCCTCCACAGTACGACCTGGTGCCACCACCGCAGTATAATCCAGTGCCCTAACCACAGTATTGCCCAACACCGCCACAGTATAATCCAGTGCCCCCACCATATCAGCAAGTACCACCACAGGGGCCCCCAGTCTATCCTCAGCTTGGCCCAGTCCATCTTCCGCGGGACCCAGCTCCTTCTAGGATTGACCTAGGTTACGTAGAGAGGTACAGGAGACTGAACCCATCTACTTTTGCAGGGGAATCCTCTTTTGAAGATGCCCAGTACTGGTTGGTGGAGACGGAGAAAGCCTTCAAGACCCTAGGAGTAACTCCCGAGCAGAGGGTCACCCTTGCTACCTACATGCTGGTGGGAGAAGCAGACCGCTGGTGGGAACTCAAGCAGACCACCCTGCCTGTTCCAGTTACTTGGGAATAGTTCTTAGCAGCCTTTTATGCGGAGTACCTCCTAGAGCACATCCGACATCTGAAGGAGATGGAGTTTGTCCAGTTGGTCTAGGAGAACATGACGGTGTCAGAATATGCTCGTAAGTTCTTGGAGTTTTGGCCCGATACTCCCTTGAGACGTTGATGGATGAGGGCAGAAAGGCTAGGAGGTTCCAGTGGGGCCTCCGCCCAGAGATCAAGCAGCATTTATTTGTACTGGAGCTCAGGACATACTCGGTCGTTTTGGCCAAGACACAGTTAGTGGAGAGGAGCCTCCACACCCTCCCTCAGTCAGCAGAGAACCACAGGCCCTCAGCTCCACCCCACATACCAGCACCTGCTGCGCCTGTCCAATAGAACAAGAGGTCCAGACCGGTGATCCAAGCTCCCCCTCAGGCTCTAGTGGCAGGACATGGTAAGATCTGTCAGCATTGTGGCAGGGATCACGGGGACCGACCATGCTACCGCCTCAACAACACTTGTCGCATATGTGGTAGTGCCCAACACTATGCGAGAGAGTTCCCAAGGAACCAGAATCAGGGAAGACCTCCTATCCAGGGCAGGGCTTACAACCTCACCCAGCAGGATGTCGATGCCGTCCCGGACGTGGTGCAGGGTATGTATACTATCTGTAACCATCTTGCTCATGTTTTGTTTGACACTGGTGCATCGCATTCATTTGTTTCACTTGTTTTTGCATCCAAATTTAATGTATTACCTGATAAACTTGATTCAATGTTATTTGTGTCTACTACTGGGAGTGCAACACTATTGGAAAAAGTTATCTACAAGGCTTGTGCCGTAGAGATAACAAATAAGAAACTGAGTGTAGACCTAATAGAATTAGGTATGGGGAATTTTGATATAATCTTAGGGATGGATTAGCTAGCGGCGTATCACGCCACCGTAGATTGCTTTAGTAAGAAGGTTGTATTTAATCCTCATAATGAGGAGTCATTTACAAATTAATAAAATCATTTAGTATTTATTCCTTGATGGCAAGTTTTCTTATTTGTCGAGTACCTTAACCTTGCTATTTTCTCTAACTAGAAAAACCCAAGAAAGAGAATTGTATTCAAGAGATTCTGATAGTCCGAGACTTTTCAGATGTGTTTCCGGATGAACTACCTGGACTGCCAGTGGACAGGGAAGTCAAGTTCACCATAGATCTACAGCCAGACACCCAACATATTTCAGTTGCTCCTTAACCTATGAGCCGCGTTGAGATGGAGGAAC